GCCCGGCCCCCTTCCCCGATGACTGCTTCCGCCCTCCTTCCAACATCGCGGAGTTTGTGTCCTTTGGCCAGGAGAAGGGGGATGACACGATGTCCATCTCTGCCTCAGAGCGGGAAGATTGGGCGGGATCGGAGTCCGATCAGTCGGACGACATGGGGACCCCAGACCTCCAGGAGACCGACGAACGTCGGTAGAGCCCAATCATATTCGAGTGTAAACTAAACGAGCCAATGCATGTTAGCGTGCGAGATTTGCATTTCGCGCTCTGCCCTGTAGCGTGGGTGTAAATGCGTAAGTGGGTGCAACGCACATTCAGGTTTTCACTAAGAAGCCAATTCAGGGAATGGGGTTATATACGTAACAGAGACGTTCCCTTTCCGTCGGTCACGTTCAACGTCACGTCGGAACGTACTGACGAATTGGGATCCCTAACAAAGCACCACTATTGCTGACCCTTCCAGCGCCCCTAGTAAGCCACCTGATCCCCCCGCGGCTACTGAGGTGGAAGATAGGACAGGGCTTACGTGGAGAGAGTCTATTACTGTTGTTCCTCTTAAACCACACAGTAAGACTATTGGATAACACTGGGAAAGCATGCCCTTTCTAGGGACGCTGCTGAATCCACATCCCGAGGCTCAGACATCAGCCTCCCCTCAAAGCCGTGCAGGACCACCGCCCACCTTGCCAATAAAGCATATGCGTCTGATGGCGAGGCGGCTTCCATGGCGGTGCTGCAGGTTTTTCAGGCGAAGCTCCTGCAGGCGGCGGAGGGCGGAGCCCTCACGGTGGAGGCCGTTAAATTATTCCGGGAATCTCGCGCTGGCTTCTCGGTGTGATAGAGCGTGGGTATACCCTTCAATTCAGCCATTTTGTCTTCCCTGCGCCATTTCAGACTGGTCAGCTCTGTTCACTTGAAGGAATTTCAGAGGCTGCTGGGACTCATGGCGTCTGCTTCAGCGGTATGTCATCTGGGCTTACTACACAATTACGCTGCAATTATGGCTGAAATCTCGAGTCCCTTGGACGGCGTGGGCTTCGGGCCGTTTGCGCATCATGGTCTCCCGCGGCTGCATCAAAGCGCTGAAGCCATGGCGCAACCCAGATCTCTTCAGCCGGGGGGTTCCCCTGGGCTTGGTGACGTCACGCGTTGTGGTCACGACGGACGCATCGACTCGCGGCTGGGGAGCAGTGTGCGAGGGC